TAAGATTCTCTGTTTTTTGCCCTTGGCATTTTAATTATGATGTGTTTTGGTGTGGTCCTCTTTGGATTCCTTTTGTTTGGAGTTCTGTGCGCTTTCTGGACTTGTAAGTCTATTTCTTTCACCAGGTGGGGGACATTTTCTGTCTTTATTTCTTCACCTAGGTTTTCAATATCTTGCTCTATATATTTTTCTGGCACCCCCATAATTCAGATGTTGGTATACTTCAAATTGTCCCAGAGGCTCCTTACACTATCTTCAACTTTTTGAATTCTTTTTGCTTTTTGCTTTTCCGGTTGGATGTTTTTTGCTTCTTCATATTTCAAATCTGTGACTTGATTCTTGCAATCCTCTAGTCTGCTGTTGGATCTCAGCATATTATTCTTTATTTCAGTCAGTGTATGCTTCATTTCTAGTTGGTGCTTTTTTATATACTTAAGGGTCTCACTAAATTTATCAGTGGTTTCTAGAAGATTTTTGAGTAATCTTATAACTGTGGTTTTGAACTCTATATCTAGTTAGTTTGCTTTCCTCCATTTCTGTAATTTTTGACCTGTTTCTTTGTCTCCGCATTTTGGCTGCTTCGCTGTGTTTATAGTGTGGCTTTGTGTGCTAGGTGTTCTATAGGCCTCTCCAATTACCTGAGGTGGACACCCCTGATGTACCCCTTTGTGGGCTGTGTGCACAGTCTTATTGTAGGTAAGCCTTGATTATTGTTGGTATCACTGGGAGGAATTGACCTCCAAGCCAATTGGCTGTGAAGATCACCTGTGTCTATGCTGGGAGAACTTCTGTGCTGGAGACATTCTTATAGGGCAAGACTTTCTCCAGTGGGGCTTTCAAGCTCACTGAGTCTGCCCCCCTGAGTGTGTTCTTTTTGGATCTGAGGAGTTGTAATGTGGATGGCCCCACTCTGACCACTGGGTACACTGGCTCTTGGATCTCCAAGGAGGTTCAAATTTATCCTCTGCCTGAGGCCATCCAGCAGATAGTTCTGCAGATTCCTCTTTGGGATTTGGAAGTGCTCAGATGAGGCCCAGCTGTGAAGCAATGCAAGCTCTACTGTGGGGCCTTGGGCCTTCTTTTGGAAGTTTTGGTGCTTTCTGACCCTGCTGTAGTTTGTTAAATAATAATAGTTGGCAAAGGGCCAGGCCATTCATATGCAAAAGCCTCTGCGCACCACTTTGGTGGGGCAGGGTCTCAGGGAATCAACAGGGTAGAGCAACAGCTATGGCTGAATCTCGGCCCTATCCTCAGAGGCCCTTGGGTCAGGACACATGCCCGGATTGTGGGCTTGATTTTCTGTGGTGGTGTACAGGCAGCCAGTTGATGATTCTCTTTCATCACTGACTAGAGGCTTGGTGCATGAAATTCAGGCACAGATAGGATCCCTAGGCCTGGCTGCAAGTATCTCTGAGAGAAAGCCGCCCTCAAGTTCCGCCTGCTACCAGACAGTCCAGTTTCTCTCCATATGAGTCTGGGTCCCCAGAACTGGAGTTCAGAGCAGTTGGGAGTTTGTGTCTTCCTGTGGATTGAAAAAGCCAGTCACATAATCAGGTACTAGCCCTCTCCAAGCACTCACCTCTATTCCTCTGCACTTTACTTCCGCACCTCCTCTGAGTCTCAGTGTGCTTTTGTCTTTCCTTCTAGTTGTAGAATTTCCACTCAGCCAGCCTATCTGTGGTTCTGGATGATGTCGGTTTTGTCTTTTAGTTGTAGTTTTGAAGTGGTTGTGTGAGGCAGCAAGTTCAGGTGTTTACCTATGCTGCCATCTTGGTTTCTCTTATTTCTTTCCTCTTTAAGCCTTAATTTTATGACTTGAAAGGTTTTGTTCTCTGTCTTAGAGAATTGCTGTTAAACTCAAATGAGGTGATGCACTTTAACCTTACTTTTAGTGACAAGTATAAAAGGACATTTTGAAGATTTCCCAGAAGCCTAACATTTCTGTTCGTTTTTATATATGTATACTGTTAAATACAATTTTATATTTTTTGGGTTGTCATTTTGCATTATGTTGTATATTTATTGCCTTATTTGTTCAAGATTGGCATTACAAGTATCCTTCACTTTAACTCTTGTTTAATTCTTCAATTAAAAAATGTGAATTGGATGTCAGGGGAGTACTGCCTTATTTGAATCTGTTTGGTTTCTCAGGTTTGGATAGCAAGTAGCATGATAATGAAGGGAGTATCTAAAAGTTTATTTAAATATATTTGGTTCCTTAGTTTAAAGATATTTTTCGATATCAGGGATTTGGATAACAAAGAATACCTATATTCTCAAAGAGTATTGCACTGAGATTTTATTTTTTGTAGTGGGTTCTTTTGATTGTGGATGACAGAAACCCAATTCACAGTGGCTTAGGGCATAAAAGAGAATTGATTGCCACACTTAACAAGAAAGTTCAGTGGTTGAGTTTTTTTGATTCATTGATGAATTCAGTGGCCCAAACAGAATGTGTGTGTTCATTCTCTTTTACTACAAAAACTTTTTTTTTTTATTTTTTTTTTTTAAAGCATTCAGGTTTAAAAACCAACAGCCAACAGCTCTAGATTTACCGTATTCCCCCTTATTCATGGGATATATATTCCTAGACCCCTGTGAATGCCTGAAACCGTGGGTAGTACTTAACTCTGTATATACTGTGTTTTGTCCCATAAATATGATACATTTTAATTTATAACAGGCTCAGTAAGAGATTAATAATAATAATAAAATAGGAAATTTATAAAAAATACTGAAATAGTCTGGCCAGTGTGGTTTAATGATTGAGTGTCAACCCATGAAGCAGGAGGTCATGGTTTGATTCCTGGTCAGGGCACATACCCGGATTGTGGGCTTGATTTTCTGTGGTGGTGTACAGGCAGCCAGTTAATGATTCTCTTTCATCATTGACTAGAGCACATGTGTCAAACACAAGGCCCTCAGGCCAAATCCGTCCCGCCAGGCCTTGCAATGTGGTCCGCACTGCGCTGTCATCACTGCACTCCGCTGCGTTTCCATCACAATGACAGTTTATGACTGTTCAGTAAACCATTTGGCCCGCGATTTAGGCTGGATTTTAGATTTTGGCCCCTTCTCTGATTGAGTTCGACACCCCTAGACTAGAGGCTTGGTGCATGAAATTCGGGCACGGATAGGATCCGTAGGCCTGGCTGGCAATCAGGGCTGATTGGAGCCTTTCTGCTGCTGGCTGGGGCCTTTTGTTCTTTGCTGCCCTCTGGTGGCCAGTGCACGTCATAGTGAGTGATCAAACTTATAGTCTCCTGGGTTGAACACTGAGGGGATTCTTTGCATATTAGCCTTTTATATATAGATGTTTCTATCTCTTCCTCTCCCTTTCTCTGAAATCAATAAAAACAAATTAAAAATTAAAAGTTACTTGTAATAAGAATTATTTGAATATGGTCTCTTTCTTGCTCTCAAAATCATTTTATTATACTCACCCTCCTTATGATGATGTCAGATGATACAATGCCTATATGATGAGATGAAATTAGGTGAATGACATAGGATTGTGATATAATGTTAGGCTACTATTGATCTTATGGCAGAAAAAGGATCATTTACTTTGGATCATCCTGGATAATCAAGCCATGGTGAGCTACTAAGTTACTGATTGTTGAATAGTTTATAATATAAACTTTATATAGAGGGATACACTGGACAAAGGATGACTCATGACCCTGAGGCAGACATAGCAGGATTGTGTAAACTTTCATCACATTACTCAGAATGACACACAATTTAAAACATATGAACTTATTTACTTCTGGAGTTTTCCATTCAATAGTTTTAGACAGTGGTTAACTATGATAATTTAAAATACAGAAAGTGAAACTGTAGATAAGCGGGGTAGTAATGTACATCTTTCTAGATTAGCAGCCCTAATGGAAAAAAAAAATTCTTTTTTAATAGTTGCAGCCATGTTTCAGTATAGTGAACCGCCACCATCATCACTAGACTTAATGGAATAAACTGAGCCAGTGTCATAATTAATAACCACCCCTCTATTTTAGCTAGGGGATGAGTTTGACCCATTTAAACTCTGTCATATAACCAGGTAGTTCTTCAAATAAAAACATAGTACTTTCACTAGAAGAAGGTATACTAGGTGTACCGGTTAATAATGGTGGATTTTGTAATCAAAGAAAACACGCTGATTTCAAGAGAAACATCAAAAGTTCTTTATTCAAAATAATGTTCATTTCCCCCATCTTTCAGGTAATTTGTGGATACTGCCCCAATAGAACTTTTCCTGTTTTTAGGCAAAACATTCAGAGACACAATTTCCCACTTCTTATGTTTTGAATTGCTGCTCAGAAAGTGTGTGTGCTATTGATTGGAACAAGTGGTAGTCTGAAGGAGCAAGGTCTGGTGAATACAGCGGGTGGGTTAATACTTCCAGGCAGGATCTTTTAGTGTGTCTTTAACTGGTTTTGAAGTGTGTGATGGTGTGTTATCATGAAGCAAAATTACTTTGCTGCCTCTTCTGGTCCATTTTGATTGTTTCATGATCAAAGCAGGGTTCAGATCGATTATTTGTTGTCAGTAGCAATGAGTATTAATGGTTTCACCTGGTTTTAGAAGTCATAGTACACCACACCTTCCCAATACCACCAAACGCGTAGAACTGTCTTCTTTCCGAAGCGATTTGGCCTTGCAGTCAATGTTGATGGTTGACCTTGTTCAACCCATAATTTTGTGCGTTTGGGAGTCTTATAGTAAATCCACTTTTCACCACCAGTTCTGCCATTGTAGCACAAAAATCCATAAATAATAGGCAACTGTGTGTATATATATATTGGGGCATAAAATATGCAAATTAGCCAGGGCAGTGTAACAGTCACAACTGGCTCAGGATGAGGTTGTGTGTGCAGATAGGTGGGAGGGTACTGCATGTGCGGTCAGGCAAGCCACAGTTGGTGCAAGCCTGAAGTGGACACACAGACACGGTCCTGCTCCAGCTGCTGCGGCACTGCTGGAGCAGGCCCTGAGCAGACACACGATGGCACACCAGCAGTCCCGCCTCTGCGTGTGAGCTGCAGAGGAAATACCTTTTCTGACTGCTCATTGCCTAAGCTCCCTCTATGCCACTTGCAGTGTTCTTGGTAACTTGGGTAATGAGAATCCAAGAAGGTGATCTAGGGTTTTTCCACTTCATTCCAGGAGGAAAAAATGAAGGTCCGCTGCTAGAGGGGCTAAGAAATATTATATCCTACCCTAGCCGGTTTGGCTCAGTGGATAGAGCCTTGGCCTGAGGACCACAGGGTCCAGGTTTGATTCTTTTTTTTTTTTTTTTTTTTTTAGTTAAGAAGTATATTTCTTTATTTTTCTTTGTTAAAAAAATAAATCTTTATTGTTCAGATTATTACAATTGTTCCTCTTTTTTCCCTCCATTGCTCCCCTTCACCAGGTTCCTACCCCACTCTCTGCTCTTTCCCCACCCCCCACTGTCCTCATCCATAGGTGTATAATTTTTGTTCAGTCTCTTCCCACACCCCCACACCCCTTTTCCCTGAGAATCGTCAGTCCACTCCCTTTCTATACCTCTGATTCTTTTATATCATGTTTCCCCAGAAATAAGACATTCTTCGAAAACAAGACCTACTTACAGATTTCCTTCTTTTTTTTTTTTTTTAAAATATATTTTATTGATTTTGTACAGAGAGGAAGGGAGAGAAATAGACAGTTAGAAACATCTATGAGAGAGTCATCGAACAGCTGCCTCTTGCACACCCCCTACTGGGGTTATGCCCGCAACCAAGGTACGTGCCCTTGACCGGAATCGAACCTGGGACCCTTCAGTCCCCAAGCCGACGCTCTATCTATTGAGCCAAACCGGTTTCGGCCAGATTTCCTTCTGAGTGAAATATAAGGCATCCCCCGAAAATAAGGCCCCCCTAGGCTAAACATGAGAGATTTGGTCCACTGATTCTGAAAGAAATGGAGTCACAGGAAATTCAGGAATTGGATTGTTATGATGATGTTCCAGAAGATGACATGATTGCCATTGAATAAATGAGTAAATTCTTGATACTGTAGGATTCACAGTTTGGTTTGTGTTGACAACTACCATACTACCGTACCATATACAGGTAATAAATTTCCTTTATTTTCATTTAACAATAAATGTGTACCGTATTCTTATTCATGGAAAAATAAGACATCCCCTGAAAATAAGACCTAGTGCATCTTTGGGAGCAAAAATTAATATAAGACACTGTCTTATTTTCGGGGAAACAAGGTATTCACCAGTTAATACTGTTCATCAGATTTTTTAATTCTCTTGGTTTTTAGATTCACTTGTTGATAGTTACAAATTTATTGTTCATAATTTTAATCTTTATCTTCTTCCTCTTCTTAAAGAATACTTTTCAACATTTCATATAATTCTGGTTTGGCGGTGATGAACTCCTTTAGCTTTTTTTTTATTTGTGAAGCTCTTTTTCTGGCCTTCGATTCTGAGTGATAACTTTGCTGGGTAAAGTAATCTTGGTTGTAGGTTCTTGCTATTCATCACTTTGAAAATTTCTTGCCATTCCCATCTGGCCTGCATGGTTTCTGTTGAGAAATCAGCTGACAATAGTATGGGTGCTCCTTTATAGGTAACTACCTGCTTTTTTCTTGCTGCTTTTAATATTCTCTCTTTGTCTTTTGCTCTTGGCATTTTAATTATGATGGGTCTTGGTGTGGTCCTCTTTGGATTCCTTTTGTTTGGGGTTCTGTGCACTTCCTGGACTTGTAAGTCTATTTCTTTCACCATGTGGGGGAAGTTTTCTGTCACTATTTCTTCCAATATATTTTCTCTTGCTCTCTTCTTCGGGGACCCCGTAATTCTGATGTTGGTTCGCTTGAAGTTGTCCCAGAGGTTTCTTACATTATCTTCAACTTTCTGGATTCTCTTCTCTTCTTGCTTCTGCGGGGGAGTGTCCTCTTGGCTCTTTGTGTTCCAAATCTTTGACTTGATTCTTGTGATCTTCCAGTCTGTTTTTAGTACTCTGTATAATATTTTTTATTTCAGTCAGTGTATGCTTTATTTATAGTTGATCCCTTTTCATGTCCTCAAAGGTCTCATTTATTTTATCAGCTTTTTCTAGGAAATTCTTGAAAAACCTTATAACTGTGGTTTTGAACTCTATGTCCATTCTTTTGCTTTCCTCCATTTCATTCCTTTGTGTCCTGCCTCTTCTCTGCATTTTAGCTGCTTTCCTTATTTGATGGAGTAGTTTCGTGTGCTAGGTGTCCTAGCAGGGCCCAGTAGCTCAGTCTTCCCAGTTACCTGAGGTGTACAGTTTTGGTGCAGCCCTTTGTGGGCTGTGTGTGCAGTCTTGTAGTTAAGCCTTATTTGTTGTTGGTATCATTGGGGAGAGTTGATCTCCAAGCCAATTGTTTGTGAGGATCAGCAGTGTCTTAGCTAGGAGGGCTTCTGTGCTCAGCTTGGATGGGGCAGAACCTCGGAGTGCACAGACAAGCTTTGGTTTCTTGTCATCCCCGCCTTAAGAGGGTCCTATTTGCTGAGTCTTACACTCAGGAGATTCCCTCAGCCAGGCCTGCACCATCTTGCAGCCCAGGAGCACATCCATAGCGCACCATTTGGGAGAAGGCTGTTCTTGAGTTTTGCCTGCTCCCTGACCGTCAGTTTCTACCAGGACCAGAGCTGGCTATCAGTGCAATTGGGAGAATTTTTCTTTCTCCTGAACGAGAAAGCTAGCTACTGGGAGGGCTTCTGTGCTCTGCTTGGATGGGCCAAAGTCTCGGGGTGGCGTAGACAAGCTTTGGTTTCCCATCAGCCCCGCCTTAAGAGGGTCCTGTTCCTGAGTCCCGCAGTAATGGCTGCTGGCCATGAGCACCTCCGAGAGAGTTTTCCCCATTGCTTGACAGTCCAATTTCTTTCAGACTGGAGCTGGCTATCAGTGCAATAGGGAGGTTTTGTTTTCCTCCCGAACAATAAAGCTAGCCACGTGTTAGCTGCCTGCCCTCTCTGCACACTCCACAAGTAAGGCAGTAGCGTATTCAGCGGCCGCCTTTTCCACGTGCACAGATCTCCACACCTCCACAGCTCCTGAGGCTCAGCGTCCTTTCTCTTCCCTTACTAGATGGTAGAGCTTCCACTCAGCTAGCCTTCTGGTGGTTCAGGGCAATGTTTGCTCTGCTTTCTTTTTAAAAAAAAATATATTTTAATGATTTTTTTACAGAGAGGAGGAAAGAGGGATAGAGAGCTAGAAATGCCGATGAGAGAGAAACATCAACCAGCTGCCTCCTGCACACCCCCCACCGGGGATGTGCCCGCAACCAATGCACATGCCCTTGACCGGAATCGAACCCGGGACCCTTCAGTCCGCAGACCAATGCTCTACCACTGAGCCAAACTGGTTTCGGCTGCTCTGCTTTCTTGTTGTAATTTTAAAATTGTCATGTTGGCTGCATTTAGATGTTTACCTTATGCTGCCATCTTGGTTTCTCCCTGGATTCGATTCTGATCAAGGACATGTACCTAGGTTTCAGGCTCCTCCCTGGCTGGGTCCCAGGTCAGGGCTATGCAGGAGGCAATCAATCAAAGTGTTCCTCTCACATTGATGTTTATCTCTGTCTTTTCCTCTCTCTTCCATGCTCTCTAAAAGTCAACGGAAAAATATCTTCAAAGAAAAAAATGCCATATCCTATAAAAAAGACATCTTGAAAATAAGAAAATTGTCATTTTTTTCATGGTGAAGGGACTGGAGTCCATCTTGATGAAGACACTTTGGTGGCTGCGGTAGCTGTTAGTGGCAGCAGCAGGGGGGTGATATGGGTGGCATATTCCACTGATCAGTCCTGTCACCTCCTGCAGAGGGAGGCCAGACTGTGGCAGCCATTAGTAGAACATTTCCTGAGGGCTCCTGGACTGTGAGAGGGGGCAGGCTTGGCTGAGGGACCCCCTCCAGTGTATGAATTTCGTATACCAGATGTCTAGTCTTATATAATAAAAGGCTAATATGCAAATCAACTGGACGGCAGGATGACCAATCACTATGACTCACACTGAGCAGCAGGGGCCGGATGCTCAAGGCAGGAGGTGCCCCCTGGTGGTCAATGTGTTCCCATGGGGAGTGCCACTCAGCCAGAAGCCAGGCTCATGGCTGGGTTGTGCAGCGGGGCACCTCTGTGGCAGCACTATGGATGTGCTCCTAGACTGCAAGAGGTGCAGGCCTGGCTGAGGGACTCTCCTGAGTCACGAATTTCATGCTCCAGGTCTCTAGTTTAAAGAATTAGGTTAAATTATGCAGGTAAAGAGCACTGAGTTGAGACCAGAAACTGAGAGAATATTTTTATTTTTAAAGTGAGGAAAAGGAGTTATAAGAGTGAATCAGAAAGAATAAGCCTATTAGAATATTGCAAGAAAAATAATTGTCATGTGATTGCAATTTCAAGAATAAGATGGCCACTTTAGGATGAGAATTGAGAAGAGGCTTTTGGATTAGGCAACATTATGGTAATTGGTGACATTTTCAAAGAGCATTGGCAGTAACTTGCTATGTGGGAAGAGTGGTAAGGGAGAGGAGAGTGGAAATGCAGACCATTGATTCCTAAATGCTATACTCTGGACCAGCAACAAGAGAATTGCCAAGATTTTCCAACCTCAGAAACATTGGGCTTAGAAATGTATATTTTAAAAATGTTTCCCAGATGATTCTGATAAACGCTCATGGCTTGCTGTCAAGATGTATTTGTGATGATATTTTGAGACAACCCTTATCCCAAACTCCCCCCCCCAAAAAAAAAAACAAAAAACAAAAAAAACAACACACAAAACAAAACAAAACAAAAAACACACACAACAACACAAAGCAGTGATTGATAAAGCAATAAGAAGAGAAAATCAAATGGACTTACAAGTAAGTGGGGCTCAAAAAAAGAAAAACATTTTTATGTTTCAGAAAGGGAATAGAACACAAAGCAGTGAGTGATTCTATGGCTGGGAGCCTAGAGGTTTGGCTTCTTTGTTGTAAATGGGGAAGAGTTATTACAGTTGGTTTCATTGTTGGAAACCATGGGCCAGGATAGGTATGGTTCCTCTGTTGAAAGAGATAAATCTGAGGTTAGTTTCATATTGTATACCTTTAGAAATCAGACTACAGTTTTACAGTGCATATCCTGATTGTGCAATGTAGAGCTTGCTTGATTGGAAGAAGTAGCTTTGCTTTTGACTGGTGCCGGAGGCCACAGTTTATACGAAGCCATATACCTAGAGATTCAGGAGAATGCAAACATAGCTTTACAACTAGGAATATGCCAGGT